TCTTACTGTATTGTATGTAATAATTACCTGCTTGTCCTTGGATATCAGTTGTCTGATATTGAATGTTACCTATTTTATGGCTTGTCTTTCCATCTGTCTTTGTTTCTTCATGCTGTCTTTTGAAGAATAGAAGTTTTAAATTTCAATATCATTTATATGATTTGGTCTTTTAAAGTATTATCTAAGAAATATATATAACCAGGGATCAAACTCAGGACATTGTGCTTGCCAGGCAAGCACTTATTCCACTGGGCTATAAGAAATATGTTTCTATTTCCAAGATCATAAATATTTTCTCCTAGAAGCTTTATAGGTTTGGCTTTTACGTTGTCTGTGATCCATTTAATTTCTTCCCACTTGGATAATCAGATATTTTAGCACCATTTGCTGAAAAGAACGTCTGTTTTCTGTGCAAGTGCCTTGAAAGCTTTGTTATATCTTTTGGCCATATATGCATAGATTGGTTTCTAGATAGTATTTTGTGCTGTTAGCTTACTTTCATTGGTTCTACATTGTTTTAATTAGAAAATGTTTTACTCAGTCTTTTTTTTTTTAATTTTGTGTATTTGGTACAGGGTTGCACTACGCAACTTGGACTCATAGTGATCCTCCTGTTTCAGCCTCCCCAGCTCTGGGATTATAGGCATGTGTCACCACACCTGGTCTTGGTGGTCAGCTTGGCATGGGGCCAGTATGGCATGTGATACAGGGGATCAAACCCAAGTCCTTGCACTTGCCAGGCAGGCCTTTAGACTCTTAGCTCCCTCTGCAGCCTTTACTGAGCCTTGAAATCAAGTATATAAGCCTTGTTTCTCTGTTCTTTGGGAAACAGAATTGGCTTTTAATTGTCATTTGAAATTCAACATGTATGTTACATTACTCTGTAAGGTTTTTTTTTTTTTTAATTTTAGTACAGGGACTACAGGATCTCACTACACAGATCGGACTCTAGTAATCCTCCTGTTATCAGCCTCCTATGCTCAGTCTCAGTCACAAGCTCAGCTTGCCCCTGAGGTGGGGGCAGGGCCATCATGGCATACCCAGTCCCTGTGCCTGTCTAAGCAGGTGCTTTAGTCCACTGAGCTATTTGGCTGGCCTTACTCCGTCAGTTTTAAAAAACTATTCTACTGGAGTTTTAATTGGCTTTAATTGAATCCATTGATCTATTTGGGGAGAATAAAATTTTAATTTAATTTTAGAATTCTAATTTCTTTTTGGTGGAAGTGATTTTGCTTTTATTTCTATCACTCTAGCTCAATCATTAAATATCACAGTGATTCATTTCTGAGGTGGGATGGAAGAAGGCACCGTGATTGTATGTGTTCCTTCAGGGCGCAACTGGCTGAGGGGCACAGGTCGGGCTCACTGTGGCAGCTGCAGGAGTACCAACTGCCCCACCGGCAGGTAGGTGATGTTGCGTGAGTGAGAGAGCTGGTATGCCATGTCCTCGGTGGTTTCCAGCTTCCGCAGCTCTATCAGGCCATTGCCCGCAGTGGCTGGTGAGTTGGTGATCATCTCGGCTGCCTTGGAGTCGTCCTCTGCAGAGATGATGGCTGCCTTCTGCTGCTCTGCCTTTTCCACCATGAAATTGGCCCTCTCCGCTTCCTGCTGCACCACCTGTTTGGCTTCCAGGGCTTCTGTGAACGCCTTCCCAAAGGTCAGATGCATCAAGGACACGTTATCCAGGATGAGGCCGAACGTGGCCGCTTGCTCTGTGAGGTCGTTATTCGGCTGCCTGGAGACCAGCTCTCTGGAAGATCAGCTCACTGGCGTTGAAGCAAGCCACCAAGGACTTGAGGATCTTGGTGGTGATGGACAGCAGCACGCGCTCATCATAATTCTCACTGATGCTGATGAAGATGCGGGGCAGCTGGCTGATGACGGGCCGGAAGAGGATGTTCAGGGTGATGTTGACATTCTGCAGATCTTTGCTGCCAGTGATGACTGGCACGTTACTGGGTTGAGAGCGGCATTCAAAGGTGATGGGTTTCTGTACCCACGGGTTGAGAAAGTGAGTGCCTTTGCCCACCACGATGTCCTGCACACCACGGAATCGGTCGAAGATGACTGCTCTGTGCCCAGCGTCCACATTGTATAAGGCAGAGTTCACCATGCCTCCTGCCACGGCCAAGGCCAGGCCGAACTTGTGGATGGATTCAAACACTTTCGCAGCCATGTTTCCTTCTGCGGGCCCCAATCACACCTGCTCCCACTCTGACCTTCACATGAATTCCCCAGCTGTGCTTACTGCTAAAATTCTAATTTCTAAGGGGCTGGGGAGATAGCTCAGTAGAATAAGTGCTTGCCTGGCAGGCACAAGGGCCTATACTTAGCTTAAGTAAAACTTTTAAAATTATAATTTCCAGTTGTTTCTAAAGATGTAGTTGGCTTTTATATCCTGAGACCTTTATAAATTGACTTATTTTTACCAAAGTCACTTGTTTTAATAATCTTATAGATTCCTTAGGGCAGTTTTCTTTCTTTTCCAGTCTTTTTTTTTTTTTTTTTCTACAGTTTTATTGATAAACATATAGCAATGAGACAGTTTCAAATCAAATCGGAAGTACAGTTTCAACAAATAATACACTGCATATATTATTCTT